AAAATAAAAAAAAACAAATAAGAAAAGGGGGGGAGCTATTGTAAAAAAAGAGAGACTGTACATAATTGTTTTTTAAAGTTCTTACACTGATTAGATGAAATGGATAGAGGTAATACATCGATGATAAAATAATGCAATGTATTAAGCCCCATTAAGAAGGTATACTTTAGTTAATCTCATTTGAAAATAGCAATAAAGACACTTGGGAACATAGATTCACTAAGAAGTTATGTAATTCATTGCAGATTCCATTTTTTTATTTCTCCATAATTTATCACGCTTATTTATTCTATGGAAATGGTTAAATATGTTCTACTGAAGGCTGCAACTAGATTCAAGAGAGGACAGTAAGAAAAGCCTAAGAAAAACATAGTAGAGAAAAAAATAAGATAAAGAATGACTAATGATACAATAGGAAATTACCGGGAAGTTTTTTAGACCTTAGTTATGATACACACAAGCAAACTCTTGCTGAAAATTATCCAGAAATGAACAGTCAGAAATTCAAGCTGGATCTAGAAGAGGCCACAGTACTAGGGACATTATCATCAGTGCAAGTTGGATCTTAGAATAAAAGCAAAGAATAGCAGAGGTATATCTATATATGTTTCACTGATTATTCAAAGATGTTTGACTGTGTGGATCACAACAAATTGCAATTAATCTTGAAGAGATTGGGAATCTCAGAACATCTGACGGTGCTTATGAAAAACCTATACTTGGACCAGGAAGCAGTCCTCAAAACAGAGCAGGGAAATGCTGTGTGGTTCAGAATCAGGAAGGGAGTGCATCAAGGATGCATCCTTTCTCCATACCTTTTCAATCTATATGCAGAACAGATCATTCGGGAGGCTGGGCTTTATGAGGAGGAAAGTGGCATCAGGACTGGGGAAGACTCATCAACAACCTACGTTATGCAGATGACACAACCTTGCTCGCTGAAACTGAGGAGGGCCTGAAACCCCTGATGTAGAAGGTCAAGGACTGTAGTCTTCCTTGTAGATGGAAACTTAGCATCAAGGAGACAAAGATTCTTACCACTGGGCCAAATGGAACAAAGCACCATAACGGATGGAGAAGAGATTGAGGTTGTTAACAGTTACAGCTTGCTTGGCTCCACACTCAGTACTCTTGGCGACAGCAGTCACAAAATCAAAATAGGAATTGCGTTAGGTATGTCTGCTGTCAAATATCTCTCCAGAGTGCTGGGAAGAAATGAAGTCAGTCTAGAGACTAAGGTGTGCTTGATAGAGACCATGGTCTTTTCAACTACTTCCTATGCATCAGAGATCCTTATAATGACTAAAGGTGACAGAAGAAGAATTAATGCCTTTGAGTTGTGGTGCTGGAGAAGAGTCTTAGACATACCATGGACTGCCCTGAAAATAGGTCTGTCTTGGAGAGGGTGAAACCAAGTTTCTCCTTGGAGGCTAGGATTTTGAAGCTCCGTCTCATGTGCTTTAGGCATGTGGCAAGGAGGGACTTGATCCTTGGAGATGATTATGCTCAGAAGGTAATAGGGTTAGTGTGGGAGAGGCAGACCTTGGATGACATGGATTGATACAGCAACTAGGGCAATGGAGGTAGGTGTTCAGTATCATTATAACTGATTCAGAACAGGGAAGGGTTCAGAGCTGTTGTACATAGGTCACCATGAGTTTCAGGTGACTTGATGGCACATAACAACAACAATGATACTATAATGTACAGAAAGAAGATAGTTAGAAAATTAAAGACTAGAAAAAGTCTAGGACTAGTAAGCAGTTATTGGAATTGAAGAGAATTAAAATAATGAGAAAAGACATATACTGAAATGACATTTAAAAAATTGATGAAAAGATGTTTATTCAATATTTGTCCTTTTGTGACTGAGTTACTTCACGCAATATAATGCTTACTAGATTCTTCCATGTTGTGTTTTATTTTACAGATACTTTGTTATTCTTTAGTCCAACATAGTATGTCATTGTATAAATATATCAATTTCTCTATCCTTTTGATGTTGATGGAATTTTGATTGATTACATTGTATTGCTATTGTTAATAATGTTGCTATGAACGTAGGTATGTATGTCTCCATTCATGCATCAGCCTTCATATCCTTGGACTATATTCCTAGCAGTGGAAGAGTTATATGAGATTTCTATGTTTACATTTTTTGAGGAATCACCAAACTACTTTTCATAGTGGTTGTACCACTTTAAAATCCCACCAGCAGTGCACAAGAGTTCCAACTTTGATATTATTGCTGAGGCAAGATGGTAGCTCATTTTGATTTGCGTCTCTCTGACTGCCAAATATTTTGAACATTTCTTCATGTGTTTGTTACTTGTCTGAAAGTCTTATTTTGTGAAGCACCTTTTCATGTCTTTTTACTATTTTGTAATTGGGTTATCAGCCCTTTTTTTCTTGTAGAGATCCTATAGTATTCCATTAAATTTAGTTATGAGAGCCTTCTCTGAAACACTACATAAGACTACATCTGAAAATAGAAGGGTAACTGAGGAGTTGAAGATGTGAGGGGGGCAAATGGAGTAGACATCAAAGGAGCAAGCCAAGGGATGATCAACCTAGGAAGAAATGAGTTAAGTTACAACCTGGTAATTGCAATTAGCTAATAGAAACAAAATATATAAAACTATTCAAAAGGGAAAAGAGAGAAGGATGTGGAAGAAAGAAAAGGAAATCATTAGGTCATCAGAGATAGTGGAGAGACTGGTGTGTATAAAGGCATAGGTAAGATATAATGGGGACTTGATGGGAGAATAAAAACCATAGATCAAACATAAAACAAAAATGTGCAGAAATTATTGTATAATACAAAATGTACATAAATGAAACAATTTAGATAAATTATTGTGTACAAGTAAAAGGTTGTATAAATCACAATGTATGTTGGAGAAACACAAAAAATGAGGGAAAAGAGATATTTTAAGAACACATACCTTAGCCAATCCTATATTAATGACCTCATCTACTCAGAGTAGAAATTTCAAGTTGAATAAGATTTTTATGTTGAATGTAGAGCAGTAGGCAATAGAATTTTAAAACCCACTTTCTCATTTTGGAATACCACTTGATTGTAATGCTCTCCTCTGAGGACCATCTGGGAAGTCACTCTTTCAAGCACTGGTTCATCAACTGGACTAGGTCAAAGTGACCCCAAAGGTTCTTTTCTCAGGCTGGATTCAGTGTCAGTATCACACTTTTCTATGTGGGAAATATAAAAATAAAAACATTGATTTTCTTGTAGCTATGTAAGCGAAATGTTAGACTTACCAGACATCTACTTTTAAGTGTAAATCATGAATGTGAAGCCCTCAACTTAGTGCCCATAGGTTCTGTATTCCAAGTACCAGGGAATAAGACCAAACTTGTAAATAGTTATTTTTAAAGATACTAGATCTAGATGTTAAGCTGTTCACATGCTTTTAATGCTACAAAACTGAGGCTAATTACAGTTCTGTAGTGGAGTTATTTTTGTTATGCATCATCCAGACTATTACTCATAGTAAACCCATGAATGACTGATGGCTTAGACTCTTTTCCTATCCTGAGCCAACTTCACCATCTCTGACACACTCAAACCCAAGATTAAGGATAAAATAGCTGCAGGGTATTCTGTTCTGATGGGATTGCATTTCTAGTACTGACTTTTGTGTAGATGTGCTGCATTTAATGAGTGTGTGTACACATACACTTGTGTGTGTGTGTGTGTGTGTGTGTGTGTGTGTGTGTGTGGTGTGGAGAGTGGTGGTGATGATGCATAATATTTTACCCAGAGTTGATTGTCATCAGTGGCCATAACGCTGAACTCAATAATATCTTATAACTCATCTCTTAAGTTTCCACTTATAAGAATACTATATTTTTTATAATGGTTATATTTATCTATTAATTTACATATTAATATCATTTCCTGTGAGAAAAAAAAGATGACTATCACATATAATAGTAAGGGTTTTTTTTAATTTTAATGCTAAACTTGTGTTAATACTGTAAGTTTGTGTTAATTTTGTTTTAATAGCTTGAAATCACTTATTTGAACATGGATGTGATAAATCAGACTTGCACCTTTCTAAGGAAAATACATTCTAGTTCTCAGTTGAATCATGGGTGTGAATTTATCTAGAAATATTATCTTCTAAATATAGTTTTTGCAAATAACTACAATCCATCACCATGTTAGATTCATTGAGTTCTGTGCTTACAAATTTTAGCAAAGTTTGAGGGTGAGGTGTTAGGCTCATTGTAATTTCATTTCATGTGGAAGTATTTCTATAGTTCCCTTAGAGTAAAACATTATCTAATAATCAATGTTGATCTTTATATTAAAAGTGTCTGTACAATTTTTTAATGAGAATCTTACTGGATACATTATTTTTTAATAGGAAATGTTGCAGTTGCTTTTCTACATTATAAAAGTATTGGTCCTTTGCTTTCTTCATATGAAAACATACTGGACCCTCAGAATTCAGATCATTCTGAAGAGGAAGATAGAGTCATCTCTTCAGTCATTTCGGTGTCAATTAGTTCAGATCCACCCACATTTTATGAACTTGAAAATATTGCCTTTACATTAAGTCATGTTAAGGTAAGTAGTTAGTTATCAATGATTATGGTTAGTTGTTGTGATTATGATATATAAGAAAGAATTTTTGCTGTCATTGTGTGTATTTCAGTATATGTAATTCAATGGCTATGATTTCAACTAATATTTGTAAGGAATATTTTAATTTAAATGTTCTTTTCTCTCTTTTTAAGATCAATTTTAATGAAAGTTTACAGAGACTTAGGATTTCCATTCATTCATTGTTGCACTTTTCTGCCTGCCCCTCCCCGTTTGCTTTTCTCTTTGAAAAGTAAAAGTATTTAATTTTTATACAATCCCTCCCCCCAAGTCCACTCCACTGTGCAGACTTTACTCTGGACTCCTGTCATTACAGTAATACCCAATCATATATCCCTTTTAAACAGATCTCTCCCTCATCTGTTTCAATGCAGTATACATTAACGTTCTTTAAGCTTTCTAATAAAAATAGTTTTGATTCTCTGAAATGAAGTCAGATACTTAATTTTATTATTAATTTCATTGTTTCTTTGGAAAAATCTCCATATATTCAGGGAATGAATTTTTTTTTTGTTTTTGTTGAGCAAGAAGCAACTCATAGTTAATTTTCCAGTGGGGTTTCCAGTGGCTATAAATTATACAGGAAGAGATTGCCCATCTGGTGGACTCACCACCTTTGGGTGAGTCGTTTTGCTTTCTTTGGATTATACCACTGCAGCTCTCTTGTAACAAAGGGAATATTTGCTTAAACATTTTCATTTAAAAGAAAATTTTCAGATTTGAATATTGATTTTTTAAAATCTGTATTTTATCAAAGAGAAGTGAGAGGATCACCTAAAGCACAAGAATATAAAGAAATTATCTGAAACCATTTTCTCTTTTTTAAAGTATTTTTTTTTAATTTTTTTTTTTTTAATTGTGATTTCATCCTTTTTTCTTTTCTTTTTTTTAAAATTTAGGTTGTTTCTTTTTCATTTCAATTAACATCTACAGAGATTTTGGGATTCCATTCATTCATTTTTAAAGTATTTTTTCAAAATCATAAATAATTAAAACTATACAATATGAATGTGATAATATATTTTATACTGATTTATTTACAAAGAATAGGAGGAAATGTGGTAATAGCTGGGTAATTAATTCTTTTTATAAACCTAAGAAAATTAATGGGGAAGGAAATTGTAAATTATTAATGCCAAAATTAAATAAAATACAATTAATTAGTTAATTAATTAATTAAATTGTATTTGCATTGTTTACTGATAAAATATAGGAAGCAGTGAGGCAGCTGAATGGGTGAAGGTGAAAAGAAAGGAAAAATCCATATAGTATCACACAAAATGCTAAGATGTAACTTTGCACAGAGACATCTACCGTAGGGAGAAACCAGGTGGATCTCTGCTGTGGTGAAGTAGATTATAGCTCATGGTGACGCTATGTATGGAAGGAAAAACTGCTCCATAGGATTTTCAAAGTTATGACCTTTTGGAAGCAAATCACCAAGTCTGTCTTGTGAGATGTTCTCATTTGTTCTAATAAATGCCAACCTTCCCATCTATAGTTGAGAAATTAACAATTTGTATTACTCATGGACTCTCACAAATCAACATGAGCTATAATCTACAGAAAAGGAAGGTAAGTAGTTCAAATTGAAACACTCCTGAACATTATGTAGGTGGAGAAAAGATGTATGGAGTGTTATACTAATTTAAATCAAACTTAGATTTTGAAGAACATTTAAACATCTGACAAGATGGAAGACACAAGTGATCACCTTTGACAGTAGAATCCAAACATTGTTCTTTCACATTATTTGATGGTTTTCTAGTTTTTTGTTAATGGAATAATTTATCAAATCATAAAATCCTAAGGAAAACCCTGCTTAATATTTCTTGTGTTAAAAACAAGCCACACCAAATAAAACATATAAAAACAAAAACAACAAAAAATTATCACTACTATAATTAATGATATTATTTTTTTGCCATTAATTTACTTCCTTGGTCAATGATTTCATTGATGTATCTATTTCCTGGTTCCCAAGGATAAGAAGAAAATCATCGGAATTTTTCTTAAAAAAGAGATATCTGAGGAAATTGAAAGAAACTCTTCTGCTAACTTTTTTGCAAATTCAACCATTAATACATATTTCTCCACTGAATCCCTGAGTTTGTATTTTTGTTGTATATGTTGTATATGTTGTTGTTGTTATGTGTCGTCGAGTCTCTTGTGACTCACAGCGACCCTATGAACAACAGCCCTAAACTCTGCTCCTTCCTGTGCCAATCGCACTGTCTCTGACACACCCATCCAGATTACCCCAGTCACCGAATCAATCCACCTCATAGAGGGTCTTCTTCTCCTGCGCTGTCCCTCCCTCCCAAGCATGATGTCCCTCTCCAAGGACCGGTCCTTCCTTACAACATGTCCAAAGTATGTTAGAGGAAGCCTCAGAATCCTTGCCTCCAAGGAGCAGCCTGGTTTGATCCTTTCCAGAATAAATCTGTTTGTTTTCCTAGCAGTCCATGGTACCCTCAATACTATTCTCTACCACCACAGCTCAAAGGCGTCAGTGCTCCTTCTATCCTCCCTAGTCATTGTCCAACTCTCTGATGCATAACAAGTGATTGCAAAGACCATGGCCTGTATCAGATGCACCTTAGTCTCCAGAGAGACATCATTGCTCTTCAGTACTTTGGAGAGGTCCCTAACAGCAGATTTTCCCATGGCAATATGCCTTTTAATTTATATGATCAAATGAATTAGAACAGCCACACAGGAAGCTCTGGTGGTTTAGTGGTAAGGAATTGTGCTGCCAACACAAAAGTTTGTGGTTTGAATCTGCACCAGTTTTGTGAGAGAGAGATGGTCAGTCAGCTCCCATGTGACTTATTGCTTCTGAAAACCCTTTGGAGGGTCACTTAAGGATACACAACAGCAAATCCTTATGAGAGTTTTTCTCCTTCTGAATTTTTGTTGCATTCAAACCACCGATTTTTCTGATAGCAGCCAAATACTTACTCTTTAAGCCACCAGGGCCCCTGATAATATTAATAATATTAATATTTGTCATAATAATAATATTTGTCATAGTAGGGTATACCATGAACAACTGTTTAAATCTGAAAATGTACAGCTATCTTTTCTGGAAGTTTTCCTGAGAATTTGTTTGCTATTGTGCCCTCTCCAACTATTTTTGTTCTCTTTCCATTTTTCTTTCTTTAGCTCTTGTTTGAGTATTAGACTTCCAGGCAACCTTCTTTTTTTGTTGTTTTTTTCCTCTTTTCTGTGAACTTTCTTTCCCACTGTAACATTACTCTATTAATGTTCTAGGTTGGGCGTTTGTTGTTGTTGTTGTTGTTGTTATTTCTGCTTTATATTTAATGCACACCCTAGGGTAAATTAAAAGGAAGCACTTCCTTCTCCTGTGCCACAATAACAAGCAGTGTCATGTTAAATGGTTCAATAGTAAATTCTAATGTTACATCTAGGTAAACCTGGATGGCACAGTGGTTAAATGCACCGCTACAAACCTAAAACAGCAGCCATTCAAATCCACCAGTCACTTTTCTCAATAAAGATGTAGCAGTCTGCCTCTGTAAACTTCAGCAACTTTCAAAAATTATGGTACAAGAGTGGCAAGAAGCTAAGCTGCAATTCAGAAGGTGTGTGGTTCAAATCTACCAGCTTCTCAATGGGAGAAGGATGAGTAATCTCCTCCCATGTGATTAATTGCCTCTGAAAACCCTCAAGAGAGCCGTCAGCTGTCGCTTGGTTCCAACTCGACAATACACAACAAAAACATGAATCAGAATAGACTTGGTGACACTGGGCTTTGTTTGGTTTGATTTTATGTTTGTGATGCTGGTTCATAGTTAGTTCATGCACAACATCCACTACCTGTCAGTGAAGATGTGCACATTGTTATAATGCTGAACGAGTTTCAGCAGAGCATCCAGACAAGTTGTTAGGTGCTGTCCAGTTATAGACAACTCATAGTGTCTCTATGAATGAAAGACCTGAACAATTTTATAACTTCATCATTTCTCCAAGTTCATAGGGTTTCCAGAGGCAAGCTATTTTGGAAGTAGATGCCACTCCTGCTTCCAAACTTGTGTTAATCAGGGAGCTCCACCAAACACTGTCTGCTATAGGTAACCATTATTGCATTTAACACATCAGTGTCACAGTGTTTAACATCACAGCAGCCATGAGTTGCCTCTATACAGCATTATATGACATATTTCCAGTATGCTCAGGACCATTGTTACTGGTGTTCTATCAGCCCATCTTGTTGATGGTCTTCCTTTTTATCTCTGACACTCTGGCTTTCCCAGCATGATGTTCTTTAAAGTGTTTAAAATATCATTCAGAAAAACAATTTTCTCTGAGAGCAGAAGCTTTACATTTTTAACTGATAATTCCTTCTCCTTACACAATGTCGCTTTCATAATAGACATTCAACACATACTTTTGTTAATAGCTAGTTATTTAAAGATTTTAGGTATCATTTCATACAACTCTTCCACTTAATAATGTTTACCTATTTTAACTTGTTTCTGTCAAGGTAATTCTGAATTTTATTGATATTGTTGGAGAAAGTAAAATATCCCATCAGACATCTGTGCCAGATTCTTTGTAGAAGCATATTTCCATAACTTTTTCCTAAAGAGTGTCTAGTCAGTGCGAAGAACTAACAATTTGCATATCAACTCAGTATTTAACTACTGTGCCAGCAGGGCTCCTTTTAACAACGATTAAGTTTAAATATGTATTTTGATTCTCTTTGCTTCTTAATACTACATGTACTTCCTAGGACTCTAAACTTCTAGGTAATTATGAATAACTGCTTTTTTTGGCTATAGGATGCAAATATAGGGTATTCAACATTCAATTAAATTACTACTAAAACTTAGAAAACTTTTTATTTAAAGTGTTATAATTAACTTAAAATTATTCTAAAAAGAATTCTGCTATTTATTGAAAAAGAAAAAAACCCTCATAGTCTAGTCAATCTCTAAAAATTGATTTCTAGACAGTGGATACCAACTCAAAGCTGATCCTCCATTGGGTTTCTGAGACTTTAAATCACACAGGAAATTTCACAGCTTTCTCCCTAGGAGACCTTGTTATCCAGCCTTGACGATCTATTATTCTATCCTCAAAACTCTTCACCTCACTCATTGTACTGTAACTGCATTGGATACTGGATATTTGTGGAAGAATTCTGTTTAGCCACTTTAAAATTTTCCCGTTATTGTCACAACAATCAGGAATCCTCAGTTCCCATGTCTATTCTTGGCTCACTCCCTCTGTTCACTGATAAATCCTTTTAGGTATTCTGTGAAAAGCGTTACCAGTTCAATCTACTTATCATTTCCCCCCTCATCCTATTTTATTTGTTATATAATTATTTCTCATCTAGAAATTACTAGAATATAAGGTCAGGGAGAAAAAATAAAGCATTTTGGAGAACAATGGCTGATTTTTAGTAGATATTCAACTTTTGTTGAATGAAGACACAGAACAGAGCAGGGCAACACTGCATGGTTCAAAATTGGGAAGGGTATACGCCAGGGATGTGTCCTGTCTCCATACCTTTTCAACCTGTATGCAGAGCAGATTATCCGAGAGGCTGGGCTCTATGAGGAGA